CCGGGCTGGGGATTGGAACCCGCCACCTTAGGTGTATGTGGCTGGCGCCTTAGCCGCTTGAGCCACAGGCGCCGAGCCCCAAAATTGAATTTTTGATACAATACTTTGTATTGGTAAGTTACTGAGTACTAAGTTTGTTTTATGTGAAGCTAAAAAACCCTCAAAGACCCAACAGAAATTAAAAATATTTATAAATGCATTTTGGAATACTCCAAAGGAAATGTAAAAATAAGTTTGCAACCAAAATGTATAAACCAATACGTGATAGCTTATTGTATGAGCTGGTTCTTACAGAAAAATATAATAAGGTCCCATTTGGCTTCCAAACATCCTTTTTCAAAAGAAATTTAGGCTTTAAAGATTCCTAGGCCCTAACCCCACCTACTATGTTCTCTTCCCATGGCCAGAAAGAGGTATACTCACATGTTGGCAGAATCTTTAGTATTACTACTAGGTCAGCCACATTGTGTCCCGTTGTCATTGTTCCCTTTTTATACGATCCTACCTGTCGTACTTCTTCAATTTGCTATTGTAAAAGAGATTTCAGGAAAAACATTTAGCAAGAAAAAAGGTGCCTAGTTCATCTCAGAGCTCCATTACAACACAGCTTCTTACTACCTAGATTTGGAAGTAGCACAGGTAAAATCATATCCCCCAAGCCCTCACATGAACGCCTGATACATCACAGCTAGCTGATAACAATAAAACTCTTGTCCTGTATATAACATTTATGTAGCAATAAATGTGCCATCTTTTTTTTAAAAAAAAAAAAAAAACTCTTGTCCCCACGATAAGCACTACAAAGGAATTCCACTATACTTTCCCATCCCATACTTGTATATGGCTGATGGCAAGTGAAAAATTAAGAAACAAGAGCCAAGGATACTTCTATGCTACCAAGACTGCCCTTTTCTAATCATCAAAAACTTACCACTTCAAATGTTCCTGGAGCCACAATCAAATTATCAATCACATTGTTTATTTTTGTAACCAGAGAAAGAATAGAGGCCTGAAAAACAGCATGAAACAAAATACCCTAAGATGAAAAATTAAAAGCAACTTCTCAGTTGGAATATTTCCCCCAATCCGTTCCAACAAGCTGCCCCAGTATCAAATAGGACTTTGTAAACACTTCAACCCCCTGACCTTGAATATATCAGAAAAGAACAACTTTTTAGTCTCATGGATAGATTCAATAAGATATGAATGTACAGAAAGTGCTTGTGGCTCAGTGGGTAGGGCGCCGGCCCCATATTCTGAGGGTGGAGGGTTCAAACACGGCCCTGGTCAAACTGCAACAACAAAAAAAATAGCCAGGTGTGGCAAGCGCCTGTAGTCCCAGCTACTTGGGAGGCTGAGGCAAGAGAATCGCCTAAGCCCAGCAGTTGGAGGTTGCTATGAGCTGTGTGACACCACAGCACTCTACCAAGGGTAACAAAGTGAGACTCTGTCTCTACGGGGGGGACGGGGGCAGGGATATGAATGCATATGCAGTCTGTTTATATATTCACCTAGCTCTCCATCTACTGTGTTTCCCTGAAAACAAGACACTGTCTTATACTTATTTTTTCTCAAGAAGACACACTAGGGCTTATTTATTTTCAGTGGATGTCTTATTTTTATTAAGTATAATACAACAATCTACATTTATTCAAATACAGTTAAGTCATCTTCTTCTGGAAACTGACGGGGGGAGCCGACCTTGTTGGTGGGGCTGGTGCTAGTTGAGCATGAACTCCTCTCCCCTATTCGCATGTGCGCAATAGGACGCCTGCAACTGCGGTTACCACAGGCACACCTGCGCGCCAACGGCTGAGAGAAAGGAGCTGTGGCAAATAAAAGGTATTCCAGTCTTCCTTACCGCTCCATGCCGAAATGCATCACTCGGTCTTATTATCGGGTTAGGGCTTATATTTAACAAATAATTGTATAGAAATCCTGCTAGGGCTTATTTTTTGGTTAGGTCTTATTTTTGGGGAAACACAGTACATTGAGAAACAAGGAGAACAACTAAACCCTCCGTGGAGTTTAAGCTCCAAGAACACTATTCTTAACCTTATCAATAGTTATTCACTTTTCTAACTTTCTTAGAAAAATCTCAGGAAAGGAGCCAAAAGAACACACCTGTTCAGCAGAATTGGGAGCAAGGTCCTGATTCCTCTTTAGCAAGGCCTCACTAAACGAAGTTTCATCAGGTGCTGGCTTCACCCGGGGGAAGGCCATTTCACACTAAACCAGAAATAAACAACTACATATATTTACCCAAAATAATATACAAAATTGTTTTCTTCTGTTACTACAACAGAA